GGTCGTAGTAGAAGGTGCATGCTCGGATTACAAGCCGTTTAACGCTGGTGTTCCAAAAGGCTGCGTACTGTTGCGTGAATAAGTCAACTAGCGCCATCTAGTGTCAGGAACGAGAGCGAGGGGAGCTTTGCAGAAAATGACATCACAAATTTCTCAACCGACAGCGCCATCCGAAGAACTAAGTTTCTAGAAAATCTACACTCGACCACTCGTCGCTTTGCGCGCATTTACTTCATTGCTAATTTATATAAATAGGCGCTGCAAGATGCGATCGTGGTAGTATTGAATTGGCGATACGAGCGAAGCTTCGGAGCGGAATTAAGTGAATTAGTGTGTTTGATTATTAGTGTTTTAAGTTTTAATTTGTGTAAAGTAAATTAAAGTGTTAATTTAGGTAATTTTCTCGGCAATTTTTATTGTCACGAACCTCAAGCTCGTAACAATTGGTGTCAGAAGTGGGATAAAATCATGCCGATTTTACCTAAGGAGGAAACGGAGGGTGTCCGTACCCGAAGTCAACGCCAGCAGGAGACGGACCAAAGAAGATTTGGTGGTGCAACGCCGCAGACGTCGGAGGGCCAGCCGCCGGCTGCAGGCCCGTCAGCAGCTCCTACATCTGCAGCACCTGCTATGATGTTGATGTTGCAGGAACAGGTCCGTCAGTTGAAAGAGCAGCTGCAGAGCGGACAAGAGGAACAGGCCCGCCGACAGGAGGAACAGGGCCGTCCGTTGGAAGATCAGCAGGTGGAACAGGCTCGTCGGTCGGAAGAGCAGATGCTCCTCATGAAGGACCTTCACGCTACCTTTGGGAAAGAGATAAGGGACGTGAAGGATAGGGTTGCTCACCACGACAACCGCCTGTCGGAAGCTGAAACCCGAATCGAAGAACATGAAAAACGAATCAACCATGTGAACAATCGGCTTGACAACGTGATGGCTGACGTGAAGAAAACGCTAAACGACCTCAAACTTGGGGATGGAACTACAGCTCCCGTAGTAGCTGCAGCACCTTCGCTACGTGGATTCAAAGTGCCGCCGTTCGACGGGACCTCTTCCTGGTCGGCCTACAAAATCCAGTTCGAGGCCGTCATGGAGGCGAACGGCTGGAATAAAAGCCAAGTCATGACTGCACTCACCCTAGGCCTGCGCGACCAAGCCTTAACTGTGTTGGAAGCTCTCGGTAAGAAAGTGACCTATGAGCAGCTTCTTGAGACCTTGGAAGCGAGATATGGCGACGCTCATCTGGAACACGTCTTTCGCGCGCAGCTTAAAGATCGCGTGCAGCGCAGCAACGAAAACTTGCAGCAGTGGGCCCTTGAGGTGGAGAAGATGGTTCGAAAAGCATACCAGTCTGTACCTGCGCTCATTGAAGGGAACCTGGTTCAGACATTCATCGACGGCATCCGCGACCTTGAAGTCAGAGCTGCTGTGAGACTCGGGCACCACGACACGCTTAAGAATGCCTTGGCCCATGCACTGGAGGTGGAAGCCGTGCGGCAGGATAATCGTTCCCATCGCATCAGGGAGGTTGCAGCAGCTACAGTTCGCGACCGCAATAGAGGATACAGCCCTAGGTGCTATGGCTGTGGGAAAAGGGCCCTCGTCGCTCCCGCTGCCCGAAGCGAACGATAGAAAGGGAAGGTGATCGATCTCAGGGGGGTAGTGCGGCCAACAGCACCGCCCAGTAGCAGCAGGGAAACGAGTAAAAGCCAGAACTGCGGGGCGGGTGCTGGCTGATGTTAAAAGAGCCCCAAGGATCTTGATCTCACAAACCCATGATGGGAACAGTCTAATCATCAAGGGCGAGGTCAACGGAATGCCGTGCAAACTGACCATAGACACTGGAGCCTCTAGTACGGTTGTTAGTTCCCAACTTATAAGTCAGTTCCTTGGGGACTCCGCATACAACCGAGAACGCATTAATTTGGTAACAGCCACCGGTCAGCGTATACCCGTCCGTGCAGAGAAGGAGATGGAGTTGAAGCTAGGCAACGTGATCTACCTGCATAATGTCATCGTGGCTGATATAATGCACGACTGCATCCTAGGCCTAGACTTTATGAGGAATAATTGTTGTGAGATCGACGTTAAGCAAGGTGTTCTGAAATGTGGACAGGAGGAACTTTTTATGGAAGGTGCGTTACCAGGGAACGTGTACAGCATTAAGAAGATTGTTCTTCCGCCGAGATCGGAAACGATTGTTCCGGTTAGTCTTCCTCGAAACGCTGGGCAAGCTCACCGTTGTGTACTTGTGGAAAGGGTAAACAATGACCTTCCGTGGAAAGTAGCTCGATCCTTGGTCAGGACCACTGACATCTCAGGAGTACATGTGCTGAACCTTTACGACCGGGAACAGATTATAGAAAAAGGCACACTGATTGGTACTTGTGAGGAAGTGGATTGGTTACGTCGGTGCCAATATATATCGAGTGGGACCCCCAGCAAGGATGCAGAAACGAGAGTGACCACACTTTTGGAAGACTATCGCATTGTTCTCTTCCCGAACGAATTGGTCAAGGCGAAGAAGTTGTTACTCAAGTACGCCGATGTATTCTCATCAAACGATGTTGACATAGGAAAGACTGGCTTAGTTCAACACAAAATAAACACAGGAGAAGAATTGCCTATCCGTCAGCGGCCAAGAAGATTGCCGGTAGCACGTGAAAAGGAAGTGGAAACCATGATTGAAGGAATGGTGAAGGATGGTGTTATTGAACCTTCCTCTAGTCCATGGTGTTCACCTGTGGTGCTGGTGAAGAAGAAGGATGGCAGCATGCGGTTTTGTGTTGACTACCGCCGTCTGAACGACGTTACGAAGAAGGACAGCTATCCCTTGCCAAGAATTGATGACACGCTGGACATGCTTACAGGAGTAAAGAGGTTTAGCACGCTGGATCTAAAAAGTGGCTACTGGCAAGTTGAAATTGACCCTAAGGACAAGGAGAAAACTGCGTTCTCGACGGGAAAGGTTCTGTGGCAATTTAAAATAATGCCGTTTGGGTTGTGCAATGCTCCAGCAACGTTTGAAAGGCTGATGGAACTTGTACTTACCGGGCTAATTGGCGATGCCTGTCTGGTCTACTTGGATGATATCATCATCGTAGGCCGTAAGTTTGAGGAACACCTTCAAAACTTGGAACGCGTGCTCATGAAGATTAAGAGTGCCAACCTCAAGTTGAGTCCGAAGAAATGTTCACTATTCAAACGGCAAGTCAACTTTTTGGGGTATGTAGTATCGGAACAAGGTATCCGCACAGATCCAGAGAAAATCGCCGCTGTCAAGGATTGGCCGGTTCCAAAAGACAAGACGCAGGTTAGAGCATTTTTGGGTTTGTGCTCCTATTACCGGCGATTTGTGAAGAACTTTGCAGATATAGCCAAACCTCTGCACAAGCTAACCGAGGAGAAGCGACATTTCCGCTTCCGGATGAAAGTTGCAATATCGCATTCCAGGAGCTCAAGGACCGTCTGTGCAAAACACCTATTTTGGGATACCCTGATGCAAGCAAAGAATTTATAGTTGACACAGACGCAAGTGATATAGGACTTGGCGGTGTGTTGTCTCAACGGAATGGTGACCAAGAGGTCGTGATAGCGTACTTCAGCAAGTCGTTGTCAAAACCGGAAAGGAACTAATGTGTCACAAGACGCGAATTGCTCGCTGTGGTAAAGTCGTTGCAGCATTTTAGCAAATATCTTCTGGGACGAAAGTTTCACTTACGAACTGACCATGCTGCACTAAAATGGCTATTGCAGTTTAAAAATCCAGGAGGACAAGTTGCGAGATGGATTGAACTACTGCAGGAATACGACTTTGAGATCGAACATCGCAGCGGAAAATCTCGCGGCAACGCAGATGCATTGTCAAGAAGACCTTGTCCTGAAGATTGCAACCATTGTACTAGGCAAGAGAGTAAGGAAGAGGTATCCGTGAGGATGCTCAGGACGGACCACCTCAGCAACGAATGGAAGGACAGCTTACAACATGCACAGCAGGAAGATCCGGACATTAAGCCGATTCTGAAATGGATAAAGGCCAGTGCTCCCAAGCCTAAGTGGAGCGACGTCTCAGCAATGAGTTCGACCACTAAAAGCTATTGGGCCCAGTGGGACAGCTTGCTGCTTCAGGATGGAGTTCTTGCTAAGCCATTTGAGGTTATATTTCCCCTTAAGGGCAAGTAATTAAATTGATTTTTTTAATATACAAGAAAAATCAGCTGAAAGTTATTTTGACTGCATAATATGTCTTCGTCCGCCGTAAAAAGAACACCAGCAATACCTCGTCAGCAAATTTTATAAGGATTATTATAAAATAAGTAAATACTGGGTCAGCTTGATACTGTATATTTTTATTGATTGTTTCCAAAATAAATTGTCCTAATACAATATTATTATTTGGTCAACAGAATTATACAATCGTTAATTAGGTTTCCTAATTATATTTTAGTAGATAGCGTAGTCAGACCATTAATCAATGTAATGATTGATATTATAATAACTTAATGAAGCAAAAAAATTGCACACTTTTATTGCTGTTAGAAATAAAATTAATTAGCAAATCAAAATATTTTTTTGTGCTCGACATAATAGAATTCGAAAAGCTATTTGATGTTGTACAGTAGAACTTCGATCAGATAAAGACCAAGGGAAACGTTAAATAATTTAAGTTATTGAGGTTTTTACTTACTAAGGGTTTAAGTTAAGGAGTTTTTATTGGTTTATGTTTGTACTTACAGAGGTTCGTTTATGAGCTTTGTTTAGGAATTATGTACATACATAAACGAGCTAGGTTAAATGCTAATGAAACTTTTAAATGTAAATACATATGTACAGCATGTATAGATCGTCTAAGCTGAAATGACGCGCCCCACTATCGCACACAAGCAAATTTAAAATATGGACGCAATACATATACAAATGCCATTGTAATTGGTCATTCGGTTGTCGGTGAGACTCAAGCGTAGGAGCACGCGTCGTTCGATTGTAAAAGTACCGTCAGCATGTCGACCAAAAAACATTTACGGAGTCAAGTAAGTAAAATAATACGTTATTGCTTAAAATCTTATTTAATCATACATCGTTTTTATGGTGGTTTACATGCATACATTTTACAGGCAAAAGAAATTACTGCGAAAGTGTACCGCAGAATGAAATATGAAGCGGAAAATGGAGTGGAAAAACTATCTGACGCTAGATGGCGAACTGCTCAAGCCGTTGGTGTTAGTGAATCTACGATTACACGAATTTCGAAAGAAGAGAAGCAAGCTAGTACATCAAATGATACGTCACAAAAAATTTTTAGATCGCCCTCAAAACCAAAAAGGAAGCGTACCAAGTCTAACCTGGATGATTTTGATATGGGTATACTTCGCAGAACGATAGCGACATTTCATACAGAATTTAATGAATTACCAACGTTAAGAAAGCTGAAACAAGTATTAACAGAAAGAATTGGTTTTAACGGTTGTATAGAAACTCTGCGTATCATTTTGAAGGAATCGGGCTACGAGTGGTCCAAAATAGATGACAACCGTAAAGCTTTAGTAGAAAAGCATGATATCCAAATGTTACGCTTTCAATATTTGAGGCAATTAAAAAAATATCATGACGAGGGCCGCTATATCGTATACACAGATGAAAGTTATGTTCATACAACACATCTGCAAAACATGTGCTGGAAACCAGTCAAAGGAGTATCAGCAGTGCAAAAAAAGTTGTCGAAAGGTACTCGGGTCATAATTGTTCACGCTGGTGGATGTGAAGGATTTGTTCCAAATGCTAGTTTGGTGTATAAAGCAAACTACACAAGTGGAGATTATCACGACAACATGAATCTGGATAATTATAAGAAATGGCTCACCACACAATTACTGCCCAATCTCCCGGTAAAGGCTGTCATCGTTGTGGATAACGCTTCTTACCACAATGCTTTATTAGAAAAAGCTCCCAACTCCAACTCAAATAAGCAAGTCATGCAAACGTGGCTTGCAGAAAAAAATATTCAGTTTGACGAATCAATGAAAAAAATTGAACTGTACGATCTTATTTTAAAAAATAAGGACAGATTCAAGAGGTTCGTTATTGACGAACTGATTCAATCAAAAAGGGTTTGAAATTCTACGACTACCACCTTATCACCCGGAACTAAATCCAATTGAAAATATATGGGGGATATTAAAATACTACGTGGCTAATAAAAATGTTTCACAAAATTTTACATCCATTATGTCACTTATAAATGAACGACTCGAAATGATTGATAGTACTATGTGGGCAAATGCATGTCGGCATGTTGAAGACACAGAAAAACAGTATTTGCAATATTTTGACATGGACTTTGAATTTATTATTTCTGTTAATGACTCTGATTCAGATGAAAGTGAATCTATGGAGATGAGTGAATAGTGATACTTTACATAATTTACATGCATATTATTATAGTAATTATACTAATTTGTAAAATAAATATTTCGAAAGAATATCAGTCTGGTTTAATTAATCTACATAATTACAAAATAAAAACAATATATTTTGAACCATTAATTAACAAATAGAAGAAATACCATCATAATTAAATAATTTAACTTCAATTTCTTTGTAGACCGTATTTGCTAAGAAGCGGATTTTCTTAGATTTTTTGTCCAACTTGTCATAATTGCCTGAAGGTGGCAGAGAGCGGACGTTTTGTTTCATACAATGCCCCAACGCTGCTCCCTAAGGAGAGCGTTGTCGGATTTATCACGCGACTAGTCGACCGTCACGTAGGCATACAGATCATAGTTCGCGGAGCAGTCGACGCTCAAACACAGATGAAGCGTCGTTATTAATATTTACACTCACACATCGAAATCAACTAATTAAGTAGTGGGGCGCGTCATTTCAGTTTAGACAAGCTTTACGTGCTTTATTTTAGGTTTAAAGATACATCTCTTCAAGTTTATTTTATTCTACATAAAAAGTCGGTAATTTTTTTGTTTCAAACTATTCACACTTTCTGTATCAATTTTATTTTTAATATTAAATAAAGAAGAGAAACTATCACTCTCTGTGTTACTGCATTTCTCTATAAAAGATCGTAAATTGTTTGCAGCTATCCTTGCTTCCTTGGTATATCTTGTGGCTCGTCATTTAAATTTTGGTCTATATTATCGCTCTCAACACCATGAATAACGAAGACTAAAAGCTAATGATACAAATAAGTTACTGTACTTAGACCTTAGTGTATTTTTTACATTTGAAGCATTAACAATGGTCTACAGGCCCATAGTAAGCAGTGAGGACTTCTTTACTCATGTGTTGTTAGCTTGTATAGGGAACCTTTATTGTTTGCAAATTCATTTAAAATGACTCATTGAAGTTGCAAAGGTCGTCTTCGTTACAACTTTGAGTTACTGAGGTGCGATGCCCAAATTATCGTTTAAGTTATAGAGGGTTTGTATTTTAAGTAAGAGAGGTTTTGGACTCCGAGTGAAAGGGAACAGAAAATTTTATGATTTTATGGAGGTTATTACGTTATAGAGGTTTAGGCTATCAAGGTTCTACTGTATTACTTTTTTACCTGGAAAAGCTACGCTGTAGCTATATTAGTTGTAGCACGAATGCTCAACCGGGGTAGGACCACACTCTCACATAATACCAGCGTAAAAGAGCAGCTAAATAATGTTTCGTTTAGTGAGTTTTGAGAACCGGATACCGTTTTTACTGCAAACGAGGCATTCCATCTTAGTCCTCAGGGGTGACGACGCATCTTCATTTTGATTCTTAATCGAGTGTAAATGTAGATGTCTATGGGTCACAGCTTCCACTTACCATTATTAGTTATCGGACGTAAATGGCTCAAGGCATATCCGGCAGTGGACTGGCCAGCTGATAAATATCACAAAGAATGTTAGTTTATGTCACGGCTAAAAGCCAAACACTCACCTAGTTTTAGCGATCAGTAAATCGAATTTACCTAAGTTTAATCAAACCACAGTCGGCTACACTTAGTTGTAGCCGCTTAAGCCAAGATGTACCTAAACCAAAGACGTTTTCACCAATTTCCTGGTGAGCGTCGAAGTATTCGTCTATACAATATATCTTATAGAACAGACATGTTTATGCAAAGTTTTTTTTTTGTTTTGGCACCAAAGCTCTACAACATATTGCCTGAGGACATACGACTCCACCAAGCACTGAATTGTTTTAAAAGTAGGTCACTAAAATGTTTAACTGACACTGCATTTAATTCTATTAAAGAATTTCTTCAATTTAAGTGACGTCAAAACGTTAAAAATAATGACAATTTTATGAAAATTAATTTTAATCTTATTTATTAATTTAACTATATTTATTCTAACTTCGTATAGAAACTTTTAGATTACTTGAATTGATGCCGTTAGTTTTATATTTTGGAAAATGAAATTTAGATATTTTATACTGCATGGCAAATGGTGGATCGCAGCGCCACTGAATTTCTTCTTTATTAAACACCTTATAACCTGTCGATCACAATAAAATTTATTTAGCTTGATTGATATAACAGCACTGCGGCTAAAAATCCGTTACGTATATTCTTAATAATCAACAATTCTTAATAACAATTGTAGAATAATTGAAACAAGCAAATTAACGTTTCTTATTAAACCTCTAATTCGTTTGACTTTGAGATTCTCAATATAAAGATGACGAAGTTCAATAAAAGAAACCTCTAACGGACCTAAATGCGCAATTCTACATCTAAACAAAGAATTATGTTTATTGGGGTTAATAACGGTACCTACATGTAAATGGCTTACAGTTATTCCGCTTCTTATAAACCGTCGTTATGTTATTTCCCAGCTGATTATATCGGAAGTATCACCATGAGGAACATAATGGTACGTACATTTATTATTTACTTTTTTAATATAGTCACCCGGTTAATCTGGTCACTTTCTTTTAACTCAAAAACTAAAGCCTTGTTTTCAGAGATGGCTTTGTGATACGATAGCTCTTCATCAGTCAATCAAATAATAAAGGGTCAAAAGGGCGATGTTATATCGACGCCATTTTGACAGTTGACATTATAGTAAATATTTTAGTCGATTTTAGTATGGTGTAATATAGTGAGTTTTTCAAGTAGATTTTTCGATGTTTTTCTAATTATTGCCAAAGCTTGTTTGCTATTTTTTTAATATAATAGTTATAGTATACGACTTTATGTTTTTGTCTCTATCCTGCTACTAGTTTTGGTTTCATAGGACGGCAAAGCTTAAGGTATATATATATATATATATATAAATATATATATATATAAAATATATATATATATATATATTACCCTCACGTACCTTATGTTAAAAATTAATTGGCTAACATCCGTGTAATAAAGTAAAATGAGATGTCTTACTTAGTTTAAAGAGCACTTCGCTGAATTGCGTGCACTATCCCCGCCATCAAGAACCCCAACACCACTACACTAGTTAAATAATGTCCTCCAGACCGAATTTCGATCACGGTGCGGCGGCCTGCCTCAACGGAGACAAGCCATCGGCGCAGGACAGGATAAAGTGCGCCATTGTATGCGCAAGCACAGGGGCACTCTCTATTTCCTCATTCTCGTAATCCGATGGGACGGTAAACCGACACAACCGGAGAGAGCTCAGGCGCAGGACCAAGGGTTTTACGTGCTTTCCGAGGCACGGGAGTGAGACACCGCCAACGTCCTGACTCCGGGCAGCTACTGAGAATTTTTTAACGGAAAAACTCAATAATTGATTTTTCAGCCCAACTCGGGATTCAAACCCAGGACCTCATGATCGGCAGTCACACTCCTACAAACACTAGACCAACGAGGCATTCACTAGCAAAGACAGCAGTGTTTCTCTGCGGTGGCTGACTCCTAAACTAGCTAGAATAGGGTCTCCGGTGCATAAGACAAATGATAGACAAAAAAAAATGGAATGTTTTTATTTTTTAAAATAAACTAAACTGAATAACTAAAAAAAAACGTACGGTACATATAAGGTGGGCGTACCATGGAAGGCCACTCTAACAAATAAACAGTTATTATTCGTTTATTTACTGGATAAATGAAATTAACAAATATTTAAGTAATACTTAGTTTTATTATTACGTAACATATAAAACACTTTCTTAAATGGCAGATTTAATCAACATTGATTGAACTTAAGTTTCATTGGACTCTTCCAAATGGCTTTGCTAGGAACAATACTCCTTAGAAGGCCATATAATTTCACAGTCATTTAACACTAAAGTTTAATAAATAGCGACTAAATCTACAATAAAAAGAAGTGGTTTATATGTTACATAATAAAACAAAGTATTACTTAAATATTTGTTAGTTTCATTTATCCAGTAAATAAACGAAAAATAACTTTTTATTTTTTAGAGTGGCCTTCCATGGTACACCCACCTTACTTTAACATCGTCGATTCCCGAAATCAATCTAGCGAGGGACCGCACTGCCAAAATATTAGCGCGAGCGATTTGCCGCCGCGTCTGTGATTTTCAATTCAATGTGGGTGGGTGTTTGTGTAAGTAGAAGGAATTTAGTCTTTGGAATTAGTCATCACATGGCAATAACTACGACATTTTAATAATTGGCCTTCGAAGGAGCATGGCCTTCCATGGTCCACCCACCTTATGTATTAAATCTAATGAGACAAAAATTGTCTCATTTCGTAATGGTTTGGGGGAGTGGAAACGTCGCTCGAAACAATATTTTAAAATGTAGACAATTACTTCCAATTTTACAAATCTCTCTATCGCACGACGGCGATATGGAGCGAGCGATGTGAAACAGATAGCATTTTTGAAAATAACTACTAGCGCCGCGTATCGGCACTTCACAAAAATTGAATTAAAACTTTCTCTCATTTCTTTAACGGATAATTGATAGCGGTAAAAAAACTGTTAATTGGGTTAGTGATCTTCACATGTCCTCAATTACATATATTTCTCAAGTTTTTGCGATTTCTTACAACATTTACCGTAAGTTCAAGCCTGCACATAAATATCATTAGCTTTTATAGCAGTAGAGACCTAAGTTTCTATATACAGGGTTATTTTTCAAAGAGTAGCCAAATAAACTTAACTTCAAATATATAAATAATGATATACCGTTATTGCAGTTTTTTGAAAATATGAATAAATAAGGGTTCTACTTTATTTGAAATTATCCCAAATTGAATGTGATTTATGGGCAATAACGTTTCTGCATACCGATCGATCCTTACGAATGGGGGGTAATCTGTGGTCCGTGCGCAGTAAAATCAGTTAAAATAATGCGTTACTACGCATTTTGAATTTAAAAAATAAAAAGGCAGAATGTTTGAGATTTTTTTATTAATTTTGCTTCATCGTTTGCCTATATTATTTATTCTGAACCCTCTCTGTGAATTTGGCCGGCTGTATAAAAAAACCCTCTATATATAGCAGACTTTGCCTGGGTTAAAAAAATTAAAGTCACAGCCTAAATACGTCCCACTGATGTGCACTGGTCTCCTCTCGTTTCTGAGAAGGTTTTAGCGAACTAGACCAGGTTTCCTCACGATATTTTATTTTACCGCCGAGCACGTGGAAAATCAGCACTTAACTGCAATTAACAATTTCATTGGTGTCGGCGGGGATCGAATCCAAGTTTCTCGCGTACTGTGATATTTTACATCGGGCGCTAAATCCATGAGCTACCACGACTCTGTAGAATCTACAAATGTGCGTTATTTAGGATTGAGATAATCATCAAAGACGAAATATACAAAAATGTTAAATTCTTTCGTAAAAATTATAGTCTATATCATTTCAGGTATTTGCGCTCTATTTGTTTGTAAAGTATTGTCACAAATGATTAATCCACTCCGAAGATTAACCCGGGCAGTTATACAGACTCTTTATACGTGGTACAGCCATTCTGCAGCTATATAAGTAGTATAGTTGTAGCACGAACGGTAAAATAGCAGCTGAACGCTGCTGTGTTTCGTACAGTGTGTGTAGAGAACCGGAGACTCTTTTTACTGAAAACGAGGCATTACATCTTAGTCCTCACGGGTGACAACGCATCTGCATTTTGATGTTAGATGTAGATGCCTATCCGCCACAGTAACTTATCAAATAGTGATTTATCATCAAGTGGACTGTGTGCTCATTTGACACACCTATCCTATAAAAAACAGACAGATAAAAGGCCGAGGCTGTTTCCAATCCAGTAGACTGTTAGCTCGTATATCACTTCGATTTTTTTCAATTCAATTCAATTCAAATCATTTATTGCGAATATAGGTTGATACAGATGGTATTGTCATAGTTTATCACTTAGAGAACAAACACTTAGTACAGCTATATTCCGCCATTTGGCATGCAATATTCATTACATTTTATTAGTTTTATATTAAATTATTTAAACATGCTTTATTTATAATTGGAGTTCAAAATCAAAATTAATAGCGATATGTCAATTTAGATAATATTATATAAGTCAAGTCAATTTAGTTATACTGTCATGTATTAGTCAATTATTGAATTTCATATTTATCTTCGAGATATTCTTTCACACTGTAGTATGCCCCATTAACGAGAAATTGCTTCAATGGTATTTTAAAAATATCAATGTTGGAACATCTCAAAATGTGTAATGGTAAATGGTTATAAATTCGAGGGGCTATACAAAATATGTTGTTGTTAAATTGGGCTGTTTTGTTTTTTTTTTTTAAACACGTCCATATATTTAATATTAATTATTTATCGAAAAATAGAATATTTATTATCATAATAAAACTAAAACCGTAAATTATCAGCTAGCTGTGTGTTTCCTTGCTGAATGCTTATACCTACTTAGCCATCGAGCGAGACAAGAATCTATCTCTCTTATCACCAGCAGCGCCGCAAGTCACAGATAGAGTTCCTTTAGGAACACGTTCTAAATTGAATGAAACACAAAATAGCATTTTATACAAAATATTATTTATTTCTGTCTACATTTTCAGGTCGGTATGACTCTGCTGACACTTTTAGTCGTATCAGCAGCACCAAAAAGTCATCCATCGATACAGGATTTAGAGCAGTCCATTCAACACAAGCTGCATCAATCGTGGCACACTCCCGACGTACCTTCAAATCTCCCTAGAAAAGGGGAATATCCATGTAAAGGCGGTATTTGCAAAAGCAAAAAGCCATGTGAAGATTGCCAAGGTCCAATTCCTCTTGATATTGGTTGGGAAAAATTAAAATAATATTTAACTTATAATTACTTTTTCTATTTATTTCAACCACAAAGAATGTTTTGTTAATGAACGGCTGCTATAATGACAAGGTCAAAGTTCAAGTCAAAATGTTTTGTGAGAATAAGCGGTAAATTATTTTACTGAATAAATAATCTATCCTTTTGTGAATGAATTTACTAATAAATTGCTAACATTACGTATATCCTCTTTCCTTCGGCCATTATACTCCTACATTGTTGCATTAATGGCGTTGTAAAATGACGAATTAGTAAATGATGTCACAGAAATAATAGTTGACGATGTTAGTTAAGGTTGATGACCTTCCCAAATATTCTTTAATTTCGAATATGTTCACATGACAACATTTATGCAACCGATTTTGGCAAATCTGACTGATGAATACAAACAATGTTTAAATTAAATACAATACTCACTTTAATGAATCTAACAAGATGTAACGATAAAATAAATGTTACGTCTGAAATTGCCGTTTTTTATGAAAGAAGGAAATATAATTTTTTTTATATTTTTATTTCCAATAATCAAATAAATTACCCATGCAATCCATACATCTTTGTTAACGCAGTGGCGGTTTATTGATGCCCTCCTTGAAAAAATCAGCTTGACAGGAGGCAACAAATTCTTCAAAGGCATTTTGTAATGTCTCGGGTAGTGAATTTTTAAAAAGCAGAATTCTGGTGTTATGGTCTGGTGAGTACGGCGGATGACGGAGAGCCCTAGCTCTTGTAACTTAGAGACCATCTGTTGTGCAATATAAGGCCACGAGAACGAGCAGCGAGGACGAGCGATTGACCAAAGCTGGTTGGAGACGTGCGAGCTTGACTATGTTCAGTTCTTTACAGTACACATATTTTGCTAAGAACCTGTGATGAATCATACTGGCGCTAGAATACCAAACAGTGACCATCACTTTTCTAGGGGTAAGTTTTTGTTTAGGGCATTGTTTAGGTGCCTGTGCCTGTACTTCCGGTTGTTTCGCTTGTATTTTGTGGCTACCGAACGTGGCAACCTATGCAAATATTTCCTCCCCCCATTAATCAATCTATGGCAGAGGCCATGTCGACTCTAATAGTCTGTAATGATGATTATGATGATGAGGATGATGTTTGGTCTCTTAACGCCCACGATCGACCCTTCCCATTCACGCTGCACCTACAATACGCTATAGCGTGACTCTACCGTGTTATTGTTTTAAATTTACTGGTCTTTTCACGACAATTCTTATTACACCCTGCTAATTGACGGACGGGGCCATAACGACTTAGTGATTGCATAAAACCAACCTGGCAACGCTTTCTTTTATAGAATAAGGGTTATAAACGAGCACACAGTTATTTATCCTCGAATAAGAATCAACACGCCGATACGTTGTCCCCCCAGAGGACTAAGATGGAACGCCTCGTTTTCAGTAAAAAGGGTCTCCGGATCTCTACACTTACCATGCGAAACACGGCAGTATTACTCTGCTATTTTACGCTGGTATTCTGTGAGAGCGTGGTCCTTCCCCGGTCGAGCCGACCCATCGTGCTACAACTATAATATAGCTGCATCGTGGCTCTACCACGTATAAAAATCGCCTACCTCTAAGTTTTACGGACAGATTTTTGGAAGCAGCATCACCCGTGCGAGTGATCCCAGCATTCAACAGAAACCAAAACAAATCTGGCGCATTTTTAGAAAGGGTTGTACCCAGCAATGGACTTAAACCGCAGTTGATGTGATACGATGTGGTCAAAAACACACTGGCCTCCCCCATAGATTGCCTTATGAATATTTTCTATAGTTGCCACGCTTGGCAAGTGGGCTGGCAGCCACAGTTTTAAGCTATTGCATAGCTTCTATCGCGGGCCTTGAGCGCGGGGACCGAATCCAGAAATTCCGTAACGAAAAAAACCTCACGCTCCCCACTCTGACGGGCACGGAGGTGTGGCGTTGAAAGCCGTGCATCGTCTAATGTCGTTTCAGTGCACCCCCACCACTCGGCAGACTTCGGCACGGTGTTTGTATGCGTGCGACTAGACGTATGCGTGTACACTAGCTGCTAACTCAATGATAAAAATTCCTGAATAACCTACATGTATTGTAAGATATTAAAAATATTTTAAACAATATTAACTTCTCATTTATTCAATAAGAGAAAAAAAATTGTTTTCTTATCGGTCACCACGCTCAAAAAGTGTAACTTGATTTAATATCAAAGACTTAACTGCATAAATAAAATAAATAAGTAATTAAATTGCATAAGTTGATAAAAAATGCTATGCAATAGCTTTACCGCGGCAGTCACCGAGTGCCACACGTATTTTTTTTTTATTTTCAGTCGTTATTAGGAAGACGTGTTGCCCATCTCCTGATTGGTTTCCCTCTGTCGCCTCTTACGACACCCACAGGAGGATATGGGGTGGGGGGATATTCTTACACCGCCACTACACGGTTCAAACATAATCTTTATTTATAAAAAATGGTCTTTAAGATAATTGATAGAATCAGGCGTTACTTTACGGAAATCCATTATAATAAAGATATTAATTAATTTACATCTCTATTATAATGGAACCTGACCTTCCGCTAACTAAATACAATGATGTGTAAATTAATTAATATCTTTATTAAAATGGTCTTTATATATCCCACAGCTGGGTACAGACGTACTTACACTTTGAAAGTTTTCGGAGCAAGTTTAGTCCGCAATGCGCTCCAGCATTCATTGGCCGCAGTCTACGAAATATTTTATTATCCAGACATGCAAGTTTCTTCGAGAAGCTCTCCATCGCTAACGCGTTGTAAATTAATTCTTAAAATTACAAATAACAATTTTATTGGTGCCGTAGGGGATCGTACTTGGATTGCTCGCGTACTGTGAAAGTCACAGCGAGCGCTTTGTGACTGGACTGGTTGGTGAAATGTTAAAAAAGTTCACATTTAGGTTTTATTTAAACTGTCCATTGTCAGGCTTGGTGAACGAAATTCTAAAGTGATAAAATTTTTACAACGGTTCAGTTTATTAATATTCTACTAAACAGTTTTTTTTTTAATTTAAAGAAAAGAATTTGTACGGATGAGAATAAGTTCGCGCAATTTACTATGTTGTGTTCATGTTAAAATACTATGCCATCAAAACATAACTTGTAAAAAAACCAAGTCTCGCAACTCAGATCTTCTACCGTAAAAAGTTGTGAGATCCATGTAATACCAAGTCGGTTAATTTATTCAGTCCCTACTTAAGGATCCTTCTGTTTTAAGTTATTACGTAATTAGCTAACCTAACAACATTTTATAGTGACCATATCAATGTTAAAAATCTATTATGTTTTAAATATGTGGATTGACTAGGCCATCGCATGAAAACGTAATGTATCTCACAATAATTTGTGCAATTTTAAGGGGTAATCTGTGCAAGTAATACATATTATATTATATTAAATTGCTTAGTGCGATGGCCAAGTCAACCTATATATTTAAAACATAAAAGATTTTTAACATTGATATGGTCACTATAAAATGTTGTTAGGTTAGCTAATTACGTAATAACTTAAAACAGAAGGATCCTTAAGTAGGGACTGAATAAATTAACCGACTTGATATTACATGGATCTCACAACTTTTTACGGTAGAAGATCTGAGTTGCGAGACTTGGTTTTTTTTACAAGTTATGTTTTGATGGCATCTCATTTCTTTTTGTAGATAAGATAGTCCTACTTTTTTACCAGAAAACTGGACCGAAATTAAAAAATATTTTAGTTTTTCCTTGATCTATATAATAAACACTAATTTCATTCTAAATTTGAAGCTTCTATGTCTGCTAGAAGTGTCTTAGAGTTTTGATGATCGGTCAGTGAGTGACAAAATTAAGAAACTTTGACTAGTTATAATTCTTAAACTACTGGTTCAAATTGGATGAAATTTGAAATATATCATTTTTATATAATGCCTACTTGGTTACTGAAAATTCAGGCTTCTAGTTTAATCCACTACGAAGTTATAGGGGGTTGAAAATGGCCTGAATTGCTTCGAGAAAAGTATAGTACGGCCGTGCCGCTTTTTTGCTCGACTTGGCGGGGGCACTGCCGTGCCCCCAGATACCTATAGCTTAATAGCATCCGCGACATTTTTGTCACCAGGGCGGCTGCATTTAGGAATCAAGTAAAATATCTGATAGAGTTTATGACGTGGAACGTAATTTGTTAAGAAAATGTTTGTTCCTTTCTGTAATATTGTTATATTTTTTTATTAATTGTATTAGAAATGAATAAATCAAACTAGGTACGGATATTTCTAAAGGTAGAAAAACTAAAAAAAGTTTAAAAAATCTTCAATAAATTAAATAGCAAACCACTGAGGCATTGTTTTGCGTATTTACTTGTTACTCTATAAATCGATAAAATTTCGTTTAAAACTCTACATCTGAATTATATTATAATATTATATACATTAAAAAATTGCTCCTTAGTCCCAATATGGTGAGCGGACTATTATAACCTAACTAACCCTTGAATTTAGCAACTAAACAAGTTACAATTTACGCCGCAATAGAGGCTCATTGAAGCTGTTACCTTAGTCCGATAGAGGCTGCCTGTGTAAATGGTCGGCGCGCAGCGCCATTTTTAAAAAGTATCTTCCCGCTATTTATTCTTACAAGGACTTTATCGTTCGCGCCCTCATTATAAAAAATGTGCACGGAACCTTTTGTCCTAGGACATGGAATAACATGTGCGAACACCTTAATGTCGTGAATTATAAGTTTTAGTGAAGGAAAAATGCCAGCTACATGGTACTGTGTAATTGTGTCATTTTTCTTATCTGTGAGTGTCGGTGACAGAGCTGAAGAGGGATATCCCAGAGGACTCATGTCAGTTTGTATGTTTAAAAACAATATTACCTTAATTAATTAACATTTTTTACCTTTTAATTTACTGGTACTACATTGTACTACTGTATTTAAATCAT